ATCATGTACATGTTTAACACACATGTCAGTCGGGGGAACAAGTGCCAGTTTTGGCAAATCTATGTTGAAGCACTCAAAGAATTTCCGTTTCTTTATTATCCAATCACGAAACAGCGCAAGCACTGTCACGCCAGCATAGTGTAATGAGGATACGTCATGTTACTTTATAGCAACTTTGGGACGAAAACCGCGGGCTCAGTCCTGTCTCGGAGACGGATTTCATTGTCAACTGGTACTTGTTCCCACAACTGTCGTAGTCCGAGGCTAATGAAATTAAGAAACTATTACTTTGATCTAGTGTTCTACATAGAACAGACAATATCAGAAGCTTATCACTGGTGATTAGTTTCTGACAATATACAATGCGCTTTTTATATACAATGGAATCTCGATTTCTTGAACCCTCGATTTCTCAAAAAAAAAAAACAATAACTCGAACCAAAAGTCGTTTCCCTTGGATTTGTTTCACTGTAATTTTTTCCCTTGGAGGATCGAGAAATGGGGATTCCACTGTATACCATCCATATAAAATCGCCGATAGTTTTGTATATCACCGACAAAGTCGTAGACGTATCTACTGATCTGTCGCTTTAAGGACTCGTACCAACATAAATTCTCGTATTTCCAAATATCATACGAATTGATTCACGCCGTTGTAAATAATCAGATTATTTTATTTTTCATACAAACTCGCCTGACGCGCAATAGCATAAAGTATTTTTATAAAGCTGAAAAAGAGAAAAGTCCCTCTAAAAGAACCCCATCAAATTGAGTAGTTTTAATACCCCCATCAAGAATCAGACTAAGCTCCGCATCTTCAGCACAACCGTCGAGTCAGTGCTCCTCTATGGCTCCGAAACCTGGAGAACAACCAAAGCCATCTCAAGGAAGATACAGACCTTCGTGAACAGGTGCCTCAGAAGAATTCTACAAATATATTGGCCAGATACCATCTCAAACGAAGACCTTTGGAGAACAACAGGACAAGAGAAAATGGAGATGCAGATCAAGAGAAGACGCTGGGGTGGATAGGACACACTCTGCGCAAACCGAACACCAACATCACCAAGCAAGCCTTGAGATGGAACCCGCAAGGGAAGCGCACTGAAGAGAGGGCGGCCCAGGAATAGCTGGCGACGGACGGTTGAAGGAGAGATGAGAGAGGCGGGTTTCAACTGGCAGCAGATGGAGAGACAAGCGCAAGATAGAGCAGGATGGAGGGGAGTCTTGAAAGACCTATGCCCCACCCGGGGTGAAAGGGATTAAGTCAGTCAGTCATCAAGAATCATGGGAAAGACATCTTCTAAGCCAATCAAAACCAATCTAAAGCAATCACGTGTTCGCCAGTGCGAGCCATGCTTGCAGCACGTGTACAGAATCTTCTAGTAACTAACGCACTTTTAATTTCGACTCAATTTGATGGGCTTATTTATGAGAGTTTTCAGCTAACTGGGGTAAATCATTGCTACGTACTGTTAAATATCGAAGATTGCTTGTATAAATGCATGATAGTAATGATTAACAATGTTTATAGGATAAAAGCCACATCACTTTCAGTGACTATCATGATACAATAGTTGAATAAATCCATCGATCTCTAACCAACCGAGTGTGTTTATACTTTAGAGTCAATTCCCAGTCTGCAGAGAATGGCTCAACTTGCATATGACGAGAAGTCGCGCGTGCAGAGGCATCGCATTTAGGTACGACTTTCTTGAAACTACTCGTGTGCTCCACCGTGGTACAAAAGGCTGTTTTTCTTGATTCTCTCGAGTTACCTGAAGTGCACTTCGATTGGCGTACGGCCGCATAGAGATTCTAGCGTGCACACAAAAAATTTCTGACGAACGAAACTCGCGCGTGCACGTGACATACTCTGCAGCAGACTGGATCAATTCCACTGGTATATACCAAACCAGTGAATAGTGTATTTCGCGATCTCTGATTGACTCCTTTACTCGGGATATCCTGCGTTGGTTTGCGAACCAACGCTATCAGTGATCAGCTATTCTCTGGTTTGGTATACTTGTACTTGAACAATCTTGCTGTTGGACGGCGGAATATATAGTCTATAACAATGGGATATGTTTGAATTGACCAATCAGAGCTCACGTGGAATCCTTGATGAATTATAACTGCCATCCTTGATTGGTCAGCTTAAGCCTCCTAAGCTTTCTAAGAAAACCATTGAGAATTTGATGGTACATAAAGACAATATCTCTTAGTCGATGATTTCACCTCTCTGCTGGGTAATGTACTGACATCGAAAGGAGAAATACTGTGTGATGTTTAAAGTCTTTCTTAGAAGTTAAAAGAGTTGTTCAATGTTTCTTCTTTTTTCGTTTCCCTAGAGTATGCAAAACATCACCCAGCATGTCTTTCACTTCTCCTATCTGATTGTGAAACTGCGCTGTAAAGGCTCTTTGCTGTTGTTCTAATTTCTTCAGCTCTTCGCGCAGTTTATGGACATCATTCGCCGAGGCATTCCCCTTCTTTTTCCGCTCGTTATCTTGTTCGCTTACGTGCGAGGAAATGAGATCGACCTGTTCTTTTATTTGATGTGTCATCCTTTGCAGATCTTTCTCTTCTCCTTCTGTAAAATCGTCATCGTAGTACAGCTCCTCCGGGTTACATCTCGTGTAGATGTAATTTGTGAACATGCGCCGTTTTGAAGTCGACAACCCTCTCTCCAAATTCAGGATGGTACTGGCTTGTTGCATGACGGCATTTGCCTTCACGTTGTCGTAAACCCTTTGAAAAGTGTCTGACATCAAAGCGATGAAAAGATTCAGGCAAATCACACTGGAGAACGCAATGTACGTACCACAAAGTACTTTAGCCATGATGGGTTTTGCTTTTGAGAGTCCATCATAATTATACTCGTCTACAACCGTCATCCTAAACATGCTGTAGAGTAGATCCGTAATGGCAGAGTAGCCCTCGACTTCATGTTTACTGAACACCATCCAAAACGAGGCCGCGTATGGAATGTAAAATGTAAAGAACAAAAACCCGAATTTGAGCACATCGTAGATCACGTGACCAAGCATGACTACAAAGGGTCCCAGGGCGGTGAATGCGCGCGCATACTTCATGAGGCGAATCCAGAGCATCACAAGTGTTGCAGATAGAATATTCACGTGCATGGTCAACGCCATTGGGTCGCCATGGAAATACGCTATCAGATTCGTTGCTATGGAAGCAAGAATCATGAAATAAGCCAGCCAATCGACAAAGTTCCAGGCGTCTTTGAGGTAAGAAGGTTCCTGATGATGTAACGAGTCAATCTCCTGCATCAGGTACAATCTCTCCCCAGGCCATCTCGGATGACAGAATTCCAAATCGCCCCGAGTTTATCTTCCCGCCATTTTACCCAAAGCCTGTGTTCCCTTTTTGACGAGAAGTATTCCATGACTTCTTGCCTGATGGCATTCGTCGTCATCAACACCGCTATTACGCTCAGCACCAGTCTCCACCATTTCTCTTTGATCGGATTAAAAAGTTCATTTGCCTTGTTTGGTATGGTGACGCCAAGCACAGTCCAGACTAACACGAAAAACAGGTTTGTTATGACTTGGATCCAGGCGCCTCGCTTTCCAAAATAATTCCACTTCACCGCGATGAGTCTCTGTATAACTGGGTGCATAATTAAATCGAACTGCTTGAGTTGCACGATGACTTCTAGTGCTGTCTTGGCACATCCGCTGCTCATGCAGGTCGGTACTGCGGGCTCAAGGTAGTTTAAGTGGAAGTATTGTTTTCTGTTCGCCCGGTCAGTGGAGTAAAACTGATTTAGTGCTTCTTTAGCCTGCAATGAAAACAATGCATGACTCTTAGGTCGTGTTCTATTGGGATCAACCGTTTTAGGTTGGTTGGGTTTTTTCGTGTTCTATTGGGGAAAAACCGTTTTAGGTTGGTTTGGTTGATCAACTTTTTCAACCGGCATCAAACTAGGTTGAAACGGTTGCAACCGTTTCACCCGAAAACGGTTGGAAAAGTGTTCTATTGGGAAACCTCAACCGTTTCAACCTAAACCGGTTGCGGTTGAAACGGTTGATCCCAATAGAACATCTAGGCTCGATTTCTGCTGCTCTCTCGAGCCCGGCTCATTTTCCCGAATAGCGGCTGGTAATCGAGTCTAAATGAACCTCCCATAAGCCGACTCCCTTGGACTAGAAAAAGTGTCCGCTTAGAAGAGATGTCCACTTATGGGAGGTTAAAAGTCATTGTAGTGTTTGAATGTGGTTGCTGGGATCATGACTAAGTGTCCTTCTACGGAGGTGTCTACCTATGAGAGGTGTCCACCTAAGAAAGCATGTGTCCGTGTATCGGTGTATATCGACTGGTCTTTTGGACAGTTCACTTGTTCCCGGAGAGATCAAAATTATTATAAATTCTCCTCTGGGTTACAAATACCACCAATGTACAATACGGACACTCGGATAGTTCCATTCTGAGTCCGTATTAACCTGGTTTCACTGTTGAGAGAACTGAAGTTATTATAAAAGTTGATTGACAGATATACTCCACCCACCACACTAGGCATTTTGGTGATCATCATGACGAGGGCAGTCTGGCCACTGTCATCTGCCACACTAGCTTCCGCTGACCGATCTATCAGACACCTCGCAGTTTCAGAACGATCCAACTCCGCGGCGACCTGAAGAGACAGTAGATCCCAAATTAGCTTTGAATAATTCATCTTTTAAGGTGTGGTCAATAAGGTAGAGTTCCAAAAAGTGTTCTTGACCAATGTAAATATATTTTAAAATACGACATTTTTCAACCGGTTCGAGCAGCAGGTTATGGAAACCGTAAATTTCGCCTCTCTCGTCAGCCTTTAATTAAAGTGTTATGACTTTTTCTTCACTTAGATTCCATGTAAGGGAAGTATAATCTTTGTTTCGTTTTCCTTCCGTTATCGCCAACCATTTTGTCGCCGGTACTATTTGTACTCCTGGGTGGAGAGAGGCACTGTGAGAGTAAAGAACACAACACAATGACCCAGGCCACGCAGGGCTCGAACCCGGACCGCTCGATCCAGAGTCCAACGCGCTAACCATTAGGCCACCGCGTCTTCCACACGTCACGATATTTTAAGTCATTTTAATTTGCGAAGTGCAAAATCACCATCAAATTGAAGAAAGCCTAAAAACAATAGTTTACTAAGGTAGAAAAACACAAAAGAGGTAATAAGAAACCAAACAGGAACAAGGATGGTTGAGGATGGAGAAGATTAAGACGGATTACGAACGGCGAACTTGAAAAAAAAAAATTTCAAGATGCGCCATCCGTGACGTTGCTCGTTTTTTTATACGGACCTGTAAAGCCGTCCTCTGTTTGAAATCCTTGTCTGTTATATCAGCGCCACATTTCATCAGCATCTTCAGTGAGGAACTTGCGTCGTTTCGTGCTGCAAAGTGTATGGGTGTCTGCAGCTCTTTGCCTGTCTTGGCGTGAATGTCCGCCCCTTGCTGCACCAGGAAATGTACCATCTCTGGATAGTCTACTGCAGAGGCCACGTGCAGCGGGGTGCGACCGTATTTGTCAGGTTGATTGACAGATGCTCCTGTTGAAGTAAGAGGTAGACATTTAGGGCCTGTTTACATGGAGGGAGGTGACACTCCTGGAAGGAGCACCCTCTTAGAAGGGTTACCCTTCTCTATTGTATTTCCCAGTCACCCTAGGAGGAGGGTTACGCTATCTGCTTGCTAGGGTAACCCTCCTAGCAGGGCCAACTTTTTGTTTGTTTAAGCCATGAAAAAGCTCGAGGTAGGGTCACTCTCCTAGGAGGGTCAAGTTTAGCGGGATCAGGCTACTATCTATCTATCTACTGTAACATTGCCGCCAAAACAAATTCCTGTTGCCTCGGCTTTAATTGGCGAGATAGCCCTGGGAATAACCCTTTGCACGTAAAGGGGGGGCTACCTTTTGATTCTTCTAAGAGGGTGCCCCTTCTAAGAGGGTCACCCTCCCTCCATGTAAACTGGCCCTTAGTTATGTATCACGCCGGAAAATCAGCCACAGGCGGGGTGGCATCAAACTACAGTGCGTCGTGCGAGAGATACAGGGCCGATCGAGAGTCTCTCCGCGCAGGTCTTCAAATGTGTACCAGCGAATTGGTAGCAAAACCAGACAAAATGCTAGAGGTTATAAACCTGCAATAGACTAGCATTACTCCTAGTCACTGTATGGTATAAAACCTGGAGCTGGAAACATAGGTAAGCATGCTCCATAGACTGCAAGCAGTGTTTCACGTTTCATCAGCCGAGATTCTCTGCGCGGGTAGCTTGCGCGCGGACCCGACGTTGGAAGGAAATAGTAGACGTTTGCGCGCAGGCTACGCGCGGGGACGCGCGGGACCTTTACTAACTCATCCAAATCAACCAGTAAAAACGTTCGTTTTATTCTTAGCTCACACTATAGAGAATCTGTAACATAAAATGGACACTGACCGTATCTAATCTCGCTCTGTCTCACTGAAATACCAAACCTACAATAACTCATCTGTGTATGTTACCAACCAAATGTTCTTTATGGTTTTGACGGCAAAGAACGGTTGGCGAGCGAAACGAGCCGGAGGACTGACTGGCTTCGTTCTTGTCACCAGTCTGTTTTTAGAGAGCCAGCTGCTCCCCAGCTAAAAATGCTTGTCCGATCTATAGAGCTCGTTACTGGCTTATACTGAGTTTGGTCAGTTATAGGTATGATTGTCGCTTTTTCCGCGCCGCTAAAAAGTGGCATCCGTACGACTAGGTTCTAGAAAAAAATAGAAGATCTTGAGCTGACATACGAAAAGCTACAATGTTCAGTCCCTAGGGGCGGTCAACTACTATGTATAGGGAGAGAAAGAGAGAGTTCAGGACTGGACTAACGAAGAGCTTGTACAGCTACATCAGAGAGAATGTATGCTCCGTCAACCTGGAGGAGCACTGATCGCATTGGTCAGGAAAGTGTATTTGCAAGTACTCGGCAAAGTAGAACAAAAGGAAATATAGAAAACAATCATATCTTCAATAATGAGCTGTAGAAGCTACTAGCATCCTCGGAGACCCAGGGGCAGTTAGTCGGGTGAGACGAAGGTAATCGGGCAAATATCAGTCAGCGCCAGTGACCCCTGGGTCTCCGAGGATGAGCTACCAGATGCTTAAAATACAGAACCATTTCGTGTTGTAGTATACGAAACCCTCTCTTAAAACAATTTCTAAGTGACTTTAGTTTCATCAGGTCTTTTGACGTCAATCCACGACTTGACGCACTAACAGCCACACCTCTTTTCATTCATATAATGAATTAAAAAAAAACAAAAAAATGAACGAAGGAACATCTTAGCTTATTTCAAAAACTGATCATTGAATTTAATGAATCGTGCATGCTATCGTGTGAAGCGCCTCCTTATTTTTTTTGAGTCTCGGAATTTTTTTTTCTGTTCTAAAAAACGTTTTCGTGCGTGAGAACGAAGACATCTGTCGCGCAAGCAAATTATGTTTTCATCTCATCGTCAAACTGCTAATTTGTTTTTCAAGACTATTATGTGTTTTCATTTAACTGGCTGCCTTTACATGGTTAATTTAGCCGAGCTTGAGATTAAAATTTCGGGAAAATGGAGAAGTGGGTGAAAAAATTAAGTTTTATCAAAAAGCAATAACTGACACGACAAACTAACAAGGCGTGGGTAAATATTTACTTACGAACGCACCAGATAAAATATATTAATCAAACTACAGACCTCTGATACCACTGAACTAAAAAAAATGTGAATTCTTGCACAGTTTAAAACACGCCCTAAGGCCGGAAAGCACAATGGTGACTTTTATGTGAAGCGAATCTCGCCTAGAGTATAACAATAATAAAAATCATATTAAAAGCTGAAAGTTGTATCAGAACATCTGTCCCGCTGGGCATTTTTGATAAGCTTCGAATATTTCAATAGAGTCCTTTAATTTCTGCTGAGCCGTCCAGAACTTGGCTCTGCGCATTAAACTACCAAATTTTGCGTGTCAAGTTCTTCTACACAAATGATGTACAAAACCGTTTTGGCGGCGTCAGATGCCATAACAATTCTTTGCAATTGCTTACTGCCAGTTCACGCTTATTAAAAACAGTCGGTGGTAATAGAGTTTCATTTCCTTCTACTTTTTCGTTTATCGTTTGCCTAATTCCACTTTACTGATTAAAATCATGATAAGGATTGAAAAACGTGACTAGCTTTCCGGCAGAGACTTGGGATATATCGCTGTTTTCTTTTCACATCATTATTATTTGTAACTTTACTGACTCGTTTGATATCTATACATTTGCGAAAAAAATTATACTAACTACAACATAGGCGTTTTTCATGTTGACGCTGACATATTACTTCCTTAATAATCAGATAATGCTACATTATGTATAGTGACAGACTAGAACACCTTTTTCTCTTTAATAGAAAGAAATAGAAAGAATCGCCATCAAAAGGGAATTCGTGCCGTTTAACTGAGAGAAACAAACCCTCAGTCCTAAATATTCATCTTTCAGCGTTTGACTTGATTCAGAACCATTGGTTATCTCAATGATCTAACGATATTTGCAAAACCAATTATTGTTTTAATAAACTTTTTTGAATAAGTAGTTAGACGTTTGAATGAAGTTTTAACTGGCCAGCTACGTTTTAGTATTTTTCAGGTCAGTAGACTTGGTTATCATGTACTTAGTTAGGAATGACAGTAACGCATATGTCTCCCTTACCTCGTTCCAGTAGTAGCTTAGCAACCGACGTGTCCCACTGTCTGGCTGCCTCGTGCATGAGTGTCTGTCCATGACGATCCGCCGTGTCAACGCAAGCGCCGTTCTCAATAAGCGTTTCCACGAACTCTAAATCGATCACCTCTTCGTCGCGTGTTGATGCAGCTAGCTTAGCAAAATAATACAATAAAGCTCTGCTGGGCGAGCTTACTGTTGTGACCCCGCCATCTTTCCTGTGTTTCTCCTGAATCGAAGTTATCTCCACTAGTTCTTCTAAATCGCTTAGTTGCGCCGCGTTCATGCGGTGATGATTCACTCTCATGCTTTCACGGATGGTTGGAAAATCAATCTTCGCTTTCTGATATTCGCGCCATGCGCAAATATCGGCTCTTCTCCTAGCGTACTTCTTCCATTTTGATACGTTCACCTTCGCTTGTCCTACTGCTTTCAGCGGAGACACTATGCGTATTTTTTTCTGTATACTTGGGCTGTCTTTCTCTTCAGCGTTTGTCGACGTAGGGGAAGCTTGCGCGCCATTGTTGATCTCAACAATGTCCTCTTCCTCCGTCGCTAGATGAACTGGAATCACTTTGTTCTTATTTACCTTTCCATTTGCCGTCATTTTCTCTCTGTTATCGCTTGAAGCCAATTTGAACAGCGTCTATGCTAATGATCTTTGTCAAGTTTTCTTTCTTGACGCCGGTTCTTCATCCTGCTTCAATATTATATCAAACATGACTGTACTTCACGATTGCCACCAGTATATATTGAACTATGTCAATTTTCACTGAGACTCAGTATTTATGCTCTCCTGTTTTTGAGACTGCCAAAAAATAAAAATAAAAATAAAAATTAATACTAACGCACCAGATGCCAGCTTGTATAAATATAACACCGAATATCACGTAACGATATAAAACATAGGAATAACACCACTGTATGGCTATCACAAAAAACAGTCACTTATACTTACTAGTGGTGTTGCAACAATGCGTTTAAATATCACGTTTGTATCCACGCTTTAGCTATATTCTCTTCAAAAATGTCCGCCGCTTGTAACTCGCTGTCTGCCAATTCAATCGCGGAATGGAAATTCCTCTCGGTGGCGAGATAATTTTAAATGAAGTGTAATCTTTTGGGCGCTAATATAACCATGCGCACACAAGCCGGTGTTTGTTTATCTCACTGAAATGAACTCCTCCAACTGATTGGTTTAATAAGTGCCACCTACTGTTCACAAACACTAATATTAAAAAGACCTTGTAAGAAAAAAATCGCGCCTTCGTCTTGCAGACAGTTAACATCCGGCGCAGTTTAATATAAGCTTACTACCTATGCTCGATGAATTTTTTT